GCAGCAGTGAGGAGCCAGCAGTTGGCAGGTTCTGTGAACCAGTGTTGAGCTTGGGCACACAGACACATGGAAGAGACGTCACCATTCTATATCAAAGGGCTCTGCAGAACTCCACCGACAGAAGACCAGACCCAGCCCACACACAGACACGCCAAGAGCAGCTCCATACCAGCATCATTCCCATGGCAAACTTTGCTGGCTTACACAGCACATTTCTGGAATCTGTCTTGTACAGCACCCCAGAACTGTGAGCACCAGAGGAATTGTACTAGTTCTAGTCTCCCTTGTCTGATTGGCTGTCCTTTTCCTGTCTAGTTGGGTTTCCTGTCTTTTCTTGTATTTTGTGGGGTTTTTTCATGTTTCCACCCCCCTTTTTCCTTCTCTTTTTATTTCTTCTATTCACTGTTTAAGGTTATTTTTTTTTTAACTATGTTTGTTCTGTTCTGCTGATCCTATTTCTCTCCTGAGCCACCTCGTGAACTGATGGTACTTTCATGTGAGTAACCGTTGTCTCCTCCCTTTCTGGTGACTTCAGTACTCCTTTGCTTTCTTTTTTATTCTTTCCCTCCTGTGTCCTCCAGTTTCCCAAAACTCGGATCCTAACAGGGTAAATCACTGCACTAATTGGAAAATCCCTGCCTATGAGTACCTGATGTGTGTTGGAATTGGTCATATAACTTTAGAATTTGCTCCTGTAGTTAAAGGCGTCTGGTTCAGTTGTTACACTTTGTCAGTACCTAAGCTGTACCTGAAAATATTGTTACTCTAAACTGTACTACTTTGGCCATGATGACATGCATATTATAATCAGCTTTTCTCCCTCATAGGATAACACTGTGATTGTATGGAGTTGTAATCATCACCCTAGTTCAGGACCACAGCATTGGGCAATGAGCCAAACAGAAAACTTATCCTCCTTAACAAACTGGGAAGGTGGGTTTTCAGAGAGATACAAAGAACCACCTATATTTATAAGACATCTCTAAAGAACAGACATCTTCTGGGAAAGCCTTGATAGTGATAAAGCTATCTACCATGAGAAATCGGCACACAGAAACACAGAAAATGAATGAAAGCATAAAAAGAAAAAAATAGAGATGACAACATGCAGAAGCAAGATGTAACCCCAGACCCACATCCCACCCAGGACGAGCCCAGAGCACAATGAGGTAGAGGAAACTGGAAGTGAAACACTGGAACTTTCTCAAATGATATCCACAGATGTGTTTTGAAATTTTATTTTAACTTTAAAATAAAATAAATAAATATGTGCAAAATAATACAACAAAGTAACAAACAAACATCAGGTCCTGCTGCCGGTTGTGAATGCAGTTCTCACCCAGGAGGGCTCTTGGGTTCTGATGGTATTTATTGTCTCGATGTCATGGAAGAGCACAGGAGGTTGCCTTGGTGCTCAATCACCTTAAATGAGCAGCATCTTTCTTGGCTGGAGCAGGAGGGCCCTGAGAGAGGCAGAGGGAAAGGAAGGGACAGTCGTGGTCAGGTCCTGTTGACAGGGGCCTGGAGGTTCCACTTACCGCTGACAGAGACCAGTGACCGCCTGGGATCCTGGGGAGAGAGCTCTGAAGGGCTGGGGCTCAGGAAGCCTGGAGGGGAAGGTGACACCCGCAGGGGAGAGGAAACCCTCCTGATCTGGCGGTCTCTGGTACAGGACACAGGGCCCTGGGCTGCCCCACCCATAGCCAGTGACACCAGCCCTGTGGGATCCTCTCTGTGGGGAGCACAGCATGGGCTTTTCATGGCTCTGGGGAGGGGTGATCTTAGCTTCGCTCTTGCACATTCAGAATGAGATTGCTGCAGGCAGGAGAGCACACTTGCCAGAACAACACGGCCTCCGTGATTCTGCACCCCAGGGTGAGGAGGGTGAGTGCATGGGCAATGGGAGGACTTTGCAGAGACATCAGACACTGTCCACGGCCAGTCATTTAGTTACTGAAGAGGTGACATTGAGGCCGCAGGACAGGGGCAAGAAGGTGAGCTTTAAAGTCACACAGGCCTCGTTGACAGCCCTGGTGCTGGAGCACAGGCCCCAGGACCTCTCCCTGCACACACAGTGGAAGGAGCAGAGCTCCCATCTGGTGGCCTCAACAGGAGCCTGGAGAGATGGGGATGAGGACCCAGAGGGTTGAGAGAAGTGTCATGCCAAAGTGGATCACAGAAGAATGAGAAAGGCATCACTCAGAATGGAAGGAGACCAGGGCGGGCAGTGAAGTCAGCCACAGCCCCGGGTCCTTCCTTGAAGTGCTTGTGCTCCCTAGACCTCCACATTGCCGAATGGAAGGACATGACCATGAATTTCACTGTCTCCCTCCTCTGTATCCTCCTTGCCTGCTGTGCTCCTGGGTATAGAGTTTTCTTCAGTACTGTAGGCAGGAGTACACAGTGGCATAACACAGTTCATACAGACAGTGTTTCCTGAGTTGCTATTTTTTTCCCTTTGGTCTTTTTGAGACAGGGTCTCATTATGCAGTTCAGGCTGGCTTTGAGCTCACTTTGTGGCCCTAGCTGGCCTCGAACTCACAAAGATCCTCCTGCCTCAGCCTCCCGAGTGCTGGGATTAGAGGCATGCACCACCACGCCCTGCTCTGAGTTACTATTTTCACACCTCATCATATTTCCTAGAAGGGACTGAGGCCAAAGACTTTTGTTTGGGGATTTGATTTAAAATAATGGACTCAACGCAGCTGGGGGTAGTGGCACAAGCCTGTAATCCCAGCACTGGGGAGCCCGAGGCACTGGTAAAAAGGCCAGCCTACCCTAGAGAGTGGGGCGCTGTCCTAAAAAATGAAAATGAGATGATTTAATTGTCCCAAAGTACGACCTTAAAAATGTGCTGCTGATTTAATTGGAGAGGTATGAAAATGATAGGGTGCAATGTAAACCAGATTCTATGCATAGAAACGAAAACAGTGATGAATTCCATTATGTGTAAGGCAGAAGTACTGCTTTTGGGTGCAGAGCACGAACTTTATATTATTTTGTACCCCAAGGACTCTGGGCTCATATTCCTGCAGCAGAGCAGATGCGGCTCAAAATCCAACCACTGACATGGTTCTGTGTAACTGATCCCGGCCACACAGACTGGCTGGGAGGGGAAGGCAGGTCCCCTACACGGCTGGTGTGTGTGCAGCCCTTGCATGCGGTGAGCACACATTTGGGGCCCTGCAGTGCTGGTGACCTGAGATCACAGTGGACCGATGACCTTCTCACAAGAATAAAGTGTTACTCTCACCAAGAGCTTTGTGAGACAGTGATGTTCATACTCCGGCACTTGCCATTTCACTGAGACCCTCATGTGTTTAAACTGCTCCTCTTAGCTAACATCACCCAGGGCTTGTGACTTGGGAGGTACAGTCCATGGGAGTTACAGTGTCTGCGAGCAACCCAGCCATTCCTCTACCACCCTTCATCTGGACATCTCTGACCCGGGGCTCCTTTCACACTGGCCCTCTGGGTCCTCTCTTCTCTACGAGAATTGCACCAAACCCCTCCTTTGACAGTCTTAGTTCTCAGTGGTGCACCTTGCCCTGGAGTAATATTCAGCTCACAGAGAACTGAAAATGGCACCCCTGGGTCCACGTTTCCCACATTAGTTCACGGAAATGCTCATTTTTCCCCTTGGGTGGTGACACAGCAGAGCTGCCCTGTAGACCCAGCTGCTCATGAGGGGGGAAAGGGGCCCACATAGCAGGGACTCTCACGGCCTAACAGCTCATTATCCATCCGACCTGAAGAGCTCCCAAGCCCTCCCCATCTGGACTGATGGCCCCTCGTGGTGCCATGCAGAGCCCTCCAGCTGACGTCAGCTTCAAGGTGTCCATGGGGCCCAGACACAGACCCTGGGAACCCAGGTCATCTGGCCCAGGGCTGCACGTCTGGGGATGGAGATAAAGCTGACTCTAGGCCAGGATGAGACCCCCCCCTGCAGCCAGGTTTCCATTTCCTGTTCCTAATAAGGGCTCTTCCACATCAACTTAAACTCGCCCCTTATGGGTCCCCGCTCAGAGGGAGGGGGAGATGGAGCCTGGTCCCAAAGCAGGCACAGAGGAGGAGCTGTGCACCCGTGGTTCATGGTGCCATGCCCCTGGGAAGAGGCATTGGATCAGGGCGAGCCGGGAGGACAAGGCAGTAAGGGCAGGAGTGTGTGAATTCAGGGAAAGTAGCCGGGCTCAGGCCTTGAAAGAGTCCCTTCGTGGGATGAAGAGGACAATCAGGGTGGGCTTCCCTGTGGCAGTGACCGGGATAGCGGGTCCGCAGCAGTGGGAAGAGCAGAACTGAGACTGCACTCAGGACTTGGACAATGAAACTATTGGCAGGGGGCGGCCCACGCACGACAAAGGAGCGAGCACACAGGGTCCTGCGGCTGCTGCAGAGCACACAACAAGAGAGGAACCGGGCACGGAGCACGGTCCGAGGGGGACAGCGGTCTGCGGTAAGAGCACACAGGAGCCCAGATGTCATTACCTCTGCACCAAAAGCCTGAGAGCAGGGGCGTCTGCAGGCCATGCTCCGCTGCCAGAACCGTGGCTCATAGTCTGCTTCAGGGCGGCCACGGGCTCAGAGGGGCCAATGGACTGAGTCCCAAGTGTGGTGTCATTTGCCTCTAAAATCGCTTCACCCTCTGCCTTGGGAGGAATCTTCCTTCCACGTGATACCTCCACATTCAGCTCTGAAACATAAGAACAGCCACCAGGACCCACAGTTATGCAGGGTGTCTCTGTGCCACACATCACCCAAGATGCTCATCAAATAACCAGAGTGGGCTTGGACAAGTGTCCCCAAGGGGAGATGCCGACTACACACACTGATACCTGCCTTGCTGGTGATGCTTCCTACAGGAGCAGTGCTGATAAGATTGTAGGGAGGCAAAGGATACCCAATGTAAGATCGTGCAAGAACAGGAAAGTTGTGACAACCCACACCTAACAGCACACAAGGCCAAGATCAGGAAATCCCAGGGGATGTGTGAAGTTCGTTGCTGAGGAGAAGGAGGGAAAATCAAGCAAACTTGATTGCAGCGGGGAACCTTGGGAGAGGAGAGCGAGACCGGCCCAGTCATGGGAAGATGCCCTGCTGGGGTCAGGGAGCAGCCTGGATTCTGCGCCGTGTGCACAAAGCCTGTCAGAGCCAGGGCTGGGCTCAGGATGTGCACTGGCCCTGAAAACCTGCTGTGCTCAGAGGGAAGTGTCGCTGTGATCACGTTGTGTCAAATCATCAGAAAGGTTCAGGTGTTTGACTTTTCACACTCAAAGCGTTTATTGTGCTGTGTGCATGGAATCGGGTACTGCTGCCGTGATGGGAATGAAAGACAGCATAAAATGTCAGTGTGGGTCAGGTGTGTCCAAGCGTTTGGCCACTTGATGGAGCTTTTCTTCATGTCTTTGGATCCAGAACTGAGTGTCAATGTGCACAAAAGCGCCCTACTGGCCAGGGAGACGCAGTGACTTGCAGGTCAGGGCCTGAGGCCGGCTGCATGCCAGGTGCCCAGGGCTGATCTCAGGTTACTAGAGAACCTCATGTTTCGGTGTGGCCCTGAGAGAGCGCAGGGGCCCTGTCTCCTCCCCACACAGCGTCCTGGCAACGCACACACAGCCGGGAGCCTCTGACATTTCCTTCCTACCTGGCGAGAGCAGCCACGGCTTTCCAGCATCGCTGTGGGCTGCGACCATGCGGGGGGCGGAGGGGGAAAGGCTCACGGCCGCTGTGTCAGATCCATGCTCAGGGCGCTGACCCAGCTGGGCTCCCACACAGAGCTTCCCAGGGATGCACGAGCCCCTGGGCTCCTTGGACTGCTGGTGGCTGAAGGGTCCTCTGGGAAGCCCTTGGGGACAGGCTGCCAGGCAGGGAGCTGAAAGGAGAGGAGGCTTCAGGACAGACAGTCGCACTTCTCCCTTTGCCGAGCACGCATTTCTGATGGCCCCGCCTGTGGGGGACACCACAGAGGGAGCCAGGCCCAGAGGGAGGCACGGTGCACATCAGGACATGTCACCTTCTGTGTGCCTGGGGATGCTCAGGTGCAGTGCCCAGCAGGACTGGCCTGGAAGTAACAGTCACGGGCCTGAGCACCAGGGCTCTGCAGTGACAGACGAGGTCACGTCTAGCACCCTCCCCCAAGCATAGTCCTCTTTCCAGGAGAGAAGGCTTCACAGAGTGTGCAGGCCCCAGGACAGAGAGGGCGGCTCTCCCTCCACAGGAACAGAAGGACACGGACAGACAGCGCCTCGGGGCTTGGGCCCAGGGAAAAGTGTGGACTAATTGTGCAACAGCTGCAGGTCACAGGGAGTGTCCTGAGCTTGGGACCTGGTGACCTGCCGTGCCTCAGGTGTGCCCCCACCCATGCATCTGCAGTGTGCTGCATGCAGGGAGACAGCAGCCGAGAGCAAGGCAGTGCAGGTGCCCGTCCTTACAGCAGGTGCTATGGAGTCCGCATTCATGGCTCTCTGGTGGGGATGCTGAGTGTGACCCTCACATGACTCATTCCTCTCATGGGGGTATATGCTCCCTCCAGTGAATCACTTCTGCTTCCACAGGGATGCGAGGGGCTGTGCTCAGACCGAGGGCTAAGGAAAGGCTGCCAGGAGCCTCAGGTTAGGGCTCCAGCGCTCAGGAGGGGACGGAGACAAAAGAGCCTGCTGCACTCTGCTCTGGGCCTCGCTCCTCCCCTTGCAGATCCTCCTCCCACTGCGGTCTTTTCCTGTTTCCTCACAGTGATCTTCAGGTTCTGTCCTGCCTCATCCTCCTGGGAGCACCAGTATAGACTCTCCTGACTCTGCCTGGATTCACAGTCTCTGCCCAGCCCTCTCTCTCCATCTGCGGCCTCCATACCATCAGTGAGCTCTGCATCTCATCAGTGATCTTCCTTCAGGTTCCTCTTTGCTCTTTTTTAAGGGATGGACTCAGGATGCTGCCCAGCCTGGTCTCTATATCAGGCCGAATGATTTTCTTGCCTCAGCTTCCCGAACCACTGGGTCTCACCATGCTCATCATCCGAACTCCTGCTCACGGTCCTCCTCTCGTGGCCGACACATTTCTCTATG